ATTAATATCTCTTTTGCTAAATGAAAGGGTTTCTTGAACACTCACTATATTTCCCCAGTATTTAGGCTTGAATAACTAATAATTGTCAGTAATCTATATAATGGTGGCTAATTTTGATGCTAGAGTAGGTAAAGGGACTTCAATTTTAATTTTTAAAAACATTTTGAAATAATACATTCATGAATTACTTGTATAATTAAAATTAATTGTAAATTAGGCATACACACACACACACACACACATTTGTATTTTTCTGAGGATATAGACAACGTTTTAATCTTATGTTAAAGAATATGAATCTCTTATGTATTTTCACCCCGGAGAGAAATGATATATTATCTGGTCAGAGACCCACTAGCTTCAAATTATGTACATTTGAAGTAACAGTTTGGGAGATGTATTTTATTTTATTGCTGTGTTTCATTTTCATTAAATGATTTGAAAGGTTTGAATATTAAAAATACTTTGTAGCATCTATTACTTACATACAGCACCTCATTTGTGTTGCTATGGAATGGATCAGAATGCATGAAGGTGAATTGCAACAAAATCTTACAGCTGGCTGAGATGTTGCCATGGTGAATCAGGAGTCTACAGAAAAGGTATGTACATTGATTATGCTACAAATTTCACCCATGCAAACACTAGATTTATTAGCCAGATAAAGTTATATTGTACAAATCAAATATGCTTCAGAAAAATAAGCAATAAAACCACTCAAACTTTAAATTTTTTAGATAAGAAAAATTTTAAGTATTTGAAAATATTATCCTGTGGTTTACATGTGGGAAAGCTAGGTTTAGAAAAGTTATTTTAATAAAATAAAATGTATAGATATATTAGATATAGAGAAATAGAATTAAAGCATGGTGCATATACTATACGACTCAGCATCAACTTTGTTTTGCACTTTACCATCTGAATCTCTAGATTTCCAAATGCCAACATAGAGCAACAAAATAAAATTCTTATGGATTTGTGAATCAGCATACTACTAAATCAGTCTAATCTCATTATAGATGGTTCACTGGGGGCTGAGAAAAGTGACTTAACACGGCAACTTAATAACACAATCCTATCTGTTTAACTCCCTGCTCATAAATCTTTTACATTAATTATATTCTCTTGACCATGTCTTTTCCAAAGCAACTTACTCAGTGGCTTATTAATTTTCATCTAACAGTTATGCCTTCTGACTTTGGGTTTTCATTGTTGGTGATCAGTTAAAACAAATAAATCAAGAAGAAACAAAAATGCTATTAATACCTTTATAGCTTTCTGTATGAAATTATGGTTAAATCATTTTTTCCCCTTCTAATTGCCCACATTTTTGATCCCAGGAAGCATCCCTGCCTGATTATAAAATAGTGACTGAAAATAATTTATGTAAGCATCCATCTCATACATTTTGAGCCCTTATCTTTATTTTTAAGCCAACTATTTTGTATTTGCATGTTTGGGACTTAAAAATCAAAACACAGTAGTTGCCTAAAACCTTAGTGCATTTGTCCTAGACCAAAAGCTTATAATTTTACAGTCTCTCTCTATAAAAGTAATCCCTTCATAGTGCAGCTTTTATACCCATTGACTTTTACATTTCATTCAAAAATCTTGCAATAATGATATTACTGTGTTGAAAAAAGCTTCAACACCAATAGTAACATAGTCTGATTATAGGGTGAGTGCGTTTTTACAGGTTAATTACTGAAAAATCTCATTTGGTATTCACAAATAATATAGACTTTTAATTCATGATTTACTAAGAGATGAATAATTTTCTATTTAACTTCCCTCTGCATCTTCCTAGAATACCTTTGGGAAGTAAGAATTGATATTATTATTAATAAAAGCATAAGGAAATAAATCTATTGCCTCAGACTGACACACAACCTCCTATGGTCTGGTCCTAATCACTCTTTCTACCCTTATCTTCCTCTCATATACCTATGCCCCAGAAAAATAGAAGAGACTACTTTTCTAGAACACAACCCATCCTTTCCCAGTTCTTTGCCTTCATTCATGCTGGGTGAAAGGTTCTCATTTCTTATGCGTTCCACTTCCAGTCTGTGCATGCATTATATCTGCTCCTAGGTACTCAGTACCTACTACAAGACATCCACCTTACTATGAGCATTAGTCAGTCCTTTGTATCCATGGGTTTGCATCCATGGATTCAACCAACCTCTGATGGAAAATATTTGAACACAGTAACAATACAACAACAACAAAAAAATACAAAAAAAATATTTGAACAGCTATTTATATAGTTGTTCAAATATATTGAACATTTACATTGTATTAGGTATCGTAAATAATCTAGAGATGATTTAAGGTATATGGGAAAATGTGCCTAGGTTTTTTGCAAATACTATGCCATTTTATAGAAGGGACGTGTGCATCCTTTGATTTTGGTATCTGCAGGAGTTCTGAAACCAATCTCCCATGGATGGGGAGGGCAAACTGTAGTTAATTTGTGTCCTGTAACAACTCTATTTTATAGATAAGGAAACTTTAGCTAGCCCCTCAGCTAGCAAGTGATAGATCGAGAATTTGCAACCGGGTAGTCTGACTTCAAATATTACACTGTGCTACATTAATTAAAATTATGGTGCATTAATCCTAAGTCCCAATAAACTTCCAAGATCAAGATAAAATTCTTCTTTCATAAATATTTCCTTGACCACTTCAACTTTTCTCTTTTTTGCTCCTGTACCTTTCTGAGGTCACCTTCTAACTTCTCTTTCCTGACAAAGTTAGTGATGTACCCATCTTTTTTTTTTTTTTTTTTTTTTACAATCTCTGTAGTAAATAGTCATATGCTTTTCACATGCTCAGTCCTCTATAAATATTGGTGGTATGAATTTGTCATTGAATAAATTGAGGCAGTTTGGATTGTATCACAAATGACTTTCCAAAAATAATTTTAAAAATCTACTTAACCATCCTACCATTTGCTAAACACAGTGATCCCAACCAGGCATTTATTTCTTCATGAATTTGATATTTTTTATGAGTTTATGAAAAAAAGAGCAACTGTTTGGGCATTCTAGTTTCAAATGCATTCATTCAGATGTATTGTTTTATTTTACTGAATTAGACAATAGAATTCAAAACTATTGTCCCAGGAACTCAGGTGAATTTTGCTTACTCTAAATAGCCAGTTAAAAAATGGAAATAATTACTGATAATAATAACTATATAGTTATAACTGATTTAGGTGCTTTTTTCATGAGCTGATTCAAAATTCTATGAACTGATTCATTTTTTATGCATACACATACATAGACTCATCTAGATAATATAAACTAGTTTAGGGGAGATAAAAATTATTTATTTTTCTTATATCGTACCAAGATATGTAACCATTTTCAAAAATTCTCAAAGATAAATTGAATACTTTAATATTATTAGAGACAACCTAAGTTTGTTAACTCAATTTATTAAATTTCAGAGGGGATTGATTTGGAAAGTATTTGAGCCTTTTTCTCCTAAGCTATCAAAAAATCATCTTCCCCTTCACCCCCATTCTAAATGCCAACATTACAACTCATTTTGATAGTTATCCAATGGATGTTTTAAAGTCTTGTTTCTGCTTGTATAACAGCAACAAAACAACAAGATAAATAACTTCAACTCAAAATAATTACTATCACATATAAGAATAAGAATGATCAGATTTAAGATGTGCATTTTATCCTTTCAAACACAAATTTAATATATACATTGACAAAAATTCCATAACGAACAAGGTAATTATTTGAATAGGTTGATAGTAACTTATTATTGAATTCAAAACAAGCGTTCTTGGATTAATTCAATGTTAGAGTTGAATTAGAACTTTTTCCTTTAAGCTCTGCAATTTAAAAATATTTAACTCACCTGGAAAAAATAACATAAAAACTAATTATTCAAAGCACAATTTTGTCAGTTTCAAGAATGTTAGAGCCTCTCTGAAAAAAAGATTTACTTTGGAATGATTTTTCTTGAACTCCTAAATGATCATTTTCTTTTAGTTACTTAAAACTTAAGTAAATAAACCATGATTGTTAAACACACTACTGCTTCTTGGTGACAGTAACTTCTTATGACATTATCTTGGAAAGTAAGATCATGCTACAGACCCAGTACTGTGTGACAACTTTATAACTCAAAGGAAGAAAAAGTTGTTCATAATTAGGTTCATGCTAAGAATAGTACTAAGTTATTATATTGATCCTTGGTGGAATGGGTGGAATGGGTCTCTCAGGCTTTCCTGGAGATTCACCCTAATAAAAAAGAAGCTTGTTGAGTCTGCCATCTGACCTAGAGATCACTATAACAGTTCCTCTGAGCAGTCAGGTACTCTTTATGCTGATTTTTTTTCTCCAGCTCAAGAGTTGTTACATATGTTACCATTTGTTGTTTGTCTAGAACTTACAAAAGAGTCTTCTGAGGTGAAGTTTCAGAAAGCTAGCAAGGGAACATTAAGTGCACTGTTTTCTGGAGTGAAAAGCACCCACAGGCCCCCTTTCACAAGTACACATTTCTCTGTGTCATAATGGTGTTGTCTTTGGTGAACCTTGGGCACAGTTGCCCAGAGATAAATGCATAACTATCCCTGTTATCCCCTGATACAGTACAGGAAAAGATGTAACTCTTCCATCTGCATTTTCCCTGTAAATGGAACAAAAGACTAAACAAGTCTGCCCTTGACAGGTGTGACCCCCTAATCAGCACCACTGAGCAGCCCTTTGCAGAATGTCGGCAGAAACGGACTCCCCTCACCCCTCCAACTTTAAACAAAGCCACTCAGTTTGGTCTTAAACCCAGATAGGAAAAAGAATAAATAAAAGACAGCATAAAGAAGCAAAGCTGGCCATCAAGAACCTACATGCAAGCCAGAGGAGATTTAAGATTTCGTTTCCCAGGGAGGGAGTGACTAATACACGCACACTGACCATCACCATAAAGAGGTAAAGAGAGAGTGAAATGGCTCAACGTACACACACCCCGCTCCATACCGGGGACGAGTCTCCGAGCTGCGGCTTGTGCTCTCGGAGGGCCAGGCTGAAGCTGACCGCCCCCACGGCCACGCTGGACACCCCCAGCCCTATCTCCAGCACGGAGAGCACCAAGAGGCTCCCAATAATCTGGCCGCTGGTGCACATCCTTCCTCGGTCATCATTCCTTCCAGATCAGAGAGGGAAACCAATCATCCACCTTCTTTCTTCCACTATTCTCCTTCCCCCTTCCACCCCCTACCAGATCCCCAAACTTTTCTTTCTTCACCAGCGAAGCATTATCCACCAGGACTGGATTTCCAGAAACAGAGACCCTCTTCCCTGGCCGGGCAGAGGCAGAAGGGCTGCTCCACCCCCCTGGCACGTTCAGACAGGGCTCGTGGAAGGATCGTTTGGGGTTCGGTGGTGAGAGTCCAGGATAAGAGAGCACACCAGCAGCAGGGCTTTGGAGAAAGAGCCGGAGACGTGGAGGATCCCAGGAAGCTCCGAGCCCCGCGAGCGAGGCGCTGTCCAGAGTCCTGCCGCGTCCCCAGTCTCCGCAGGGAAACCCCGCTCCTCCCCTTAGCCTCCCAGACCCTTTCAGGCTCCCTTCTCTTTCCTTGCCGAGGAGATGAGCTTTGCTTCCCGGAGATCCAAGGGGGACTGCTCGTAGCTTCCCTCTTCCCCCTTTCGGCTCCTCGCCTTTGTTTTCTTGTTAACGCAAAGTGTTCCTGCGAATCTCTGGGTCCCCAAGCAGAGCCGGCGGTGGATGAAATTCAGCACCACGCTCCTCGCAGTTGCTGTGTCGCCAGGAACAGCGACCTTGTCTGATGGCCTCTTTCCGTCTGGGTCTCTTCTTCCTCGTCGTCGTCCTCTTCCTCCCCCTCTCTCTTAATCTGATTCTGTCTCATTGCTATGACCTCATTGGGATTTAGGGGGCTGACGGAGGAGAGAGAAGCCTGATGTATTTGTGGATCTAGGACCAAGACTCTCGGCTGGCCTTTGATCCGCCCCGCCCCCAGACCCTCACCGCGGGAATCCAAGCGATCCCTACCTCCGCTCTCCCCCACCCTCTCCCTCTGGGCTTCGATCCAGCGGAGAGGGGAGGCGATGCCTACGTCAACGCGGGCCTCATTCTGTGCAAAACTTTCTTCGGCGTGTACGCGGGGTGGGGGGTGGGGGCAGGGAGCAAAGAAAGGCAGAGAAGGCGCAGGAGCTGAAGCCCGACTCCCGATCTCACTGGGACTCCTAAGGACCCTCACCAAGAAACTCCTCGGTCTAAGTCTAGAAGAAGCCTGTTTATAAGGAGCGTCCACCCTTGGCTATGACCACCTGTCCCCTTCCGGGTCTGGCAGCAATAAGCAATTGACTGGGGCCGCACGTCCTGGGTCAGGATGTTCATCTCCAGACTGAAGACCCTCGCTTTCTTGTAAGAGCGTTGCCCGCGTTTGGGGGTGCACAGCCAGACCCAGATCAGCTGGGACTGGGTGTTCTCACTCACATTCGAGAGATATGTATACATTGGAACAGGTATAAAAAAGAAGAAGAAGAAGAAGAAGAAGTCTGGCTCCCCGCGCAACTGCTTTTGAGAGTCGGCCCTCATCAGAATCGTGAGGGCAAGGGCCAGCCAAGCTTGGTTTGGGTAGTTTTGCATGGTCTTTTTTGATGCAGTGAGAATCTAGGGCTCTCTGTGTCTGGACCCCATTTTCATTTTCCTGATTTTTATCTCATGAAAAATCTCAAGGTACTCCATCAAGGAGATTTAGGAAGCAAGGGACGACGGGGGAATGACGAGAGGTTTTGGGAATGGGAACTCTTCAACTGTGTTCTCCAGTTAGAAATGGAATGAAGGACAACAGAATAAAGGAGGGTGAGGTTAGGGTACACTAGCACAAGACTAGGGAAACCTGACCTCTAAACACAGGCCCATAAGTACAGCGCAGGCGCCTCACCTCTGTGATTAAAGGCTTCTTCGGTGTCGTACACGTTCTGTGGCATAAGTGCTGGCTTCAGTGTTCTTAAATTTGATTCAGGGTTGTTTCATGTTTATTACAACTGAATATTTATATTTCTTTATAACTGAATTTATTCAGTTCTGTACTATAATTTATTTTCTTTGATATGTTATATTCTACAATTTTTAAAAAATTCGAATCCTCTTCCTTTAAAAATAAACGTAAAGCAAGGAAGAGGAGTTTACAATTTATTAGACTTTAAAGAGTGTTCAGTTATTGTGATATTTGGAGAACAACTTAAGCATTTATATGAATGAATGATAATTAAGTGAATTCACTTTCTGCGTCTTGAAATCTGGTTTATTGCTAGACCTCCTCAATTAGGTTGTGGCTTTAATGACACATAGCTTATTTTATTTAAAGATTGTAGAAATCATCTAAATTTTCAAGTTTGTATACAGAAATAATAAAGCATCTATGCTGACTATTATTTTGTCTTTAGTAACTGTTTTTTCTTTTTTAAAATTCTTTTTCCTTTATGGAAACAAGTTATAGAAATTATTAAAATATATTTATTAATGCAGACATATAAGAAAGAGAGGAACTAAGAAAGGGAAATGAATTTTTGTAGAGAACATGGTGTAGTATTAACAATCAATGAATATAACAGAGAAAAAGAATGAACAAAACATGTATTACTGCCGAATTTTCATCTCTGAATGTAATGGCTAGAAATGAGTTTTCCAAAGCCTAGCCATATACCTGAGTATAACCAATCTTGATCAAGCCTGGGTCATTGTTGCAAAATCCTATATTGTTAAAAATTAAATCATACATAGAAAAAAAATAAACCCACTTTCACTTATAAGTAACTACCAATGACTCACAGTAAAACAAGTATTTTTATAAATGAACTAGAAATAATAATTTTCCAAAGAAGAAATTACTGTTTCAAAACATGAATATCAATGTAAGAATTTTCAAAATAATTTTACATGACCTCTTTTTTGGAACACAAAGTAAATTTTGCTTGTCTTTTTTTTTTTTTTTTAGTTGTAATCTCACTCCGTCGCCCAGGCTGGAGTGCAGTGGAATGATCACGGCCACCCTAGCATCGACCTGCTGGACTCCAGTGATCCTTCCGCCTCAGCCTACCAAGTAGCTGAAACTACCAAACCTGGTGCATGCTACCAAACCCGGCTAACTTTTGACTTATTGTAGAGATGAGGTCTTGCCAAGTTGCCCTGGCTGGTCTCCAACATGGAGACTCAGACAATCCACTTGCCTGGGCCTCCCCAAGTGCTGGGATTATAGGCTGAGCCATTGAGCTCGGCCTTGCATGTCTTTTTAAATGATGTAAAGGTCTTTACAAGCCAAACACAAAGCTAAACTCAAATACATCTAAAATTGTCTGACAGTCATGGAGATCAAGAACAAAAAAGAGTTTGAAGCCGGGCTCGGTGGCTCAGCCTGTAATCCCACGCCTTTGGGAGGCTGAGGTGAGTGGATTGCCTGAGCCCGTGGGTTCG